TCACTGTTGCCGTCAGTTATATCTGCCACCACTGACCCCAGCAACAGAAAAAGAAATAGAGGCATAGTGGGGCCAGGGCCGGGACCGGGAAGCCCAGACCTCCCCGGGAACCGCCGGCCCCAGCCCCAGCGCCACATCCAGCCTTCCGTCGCCATTCTTCTCTCCTCTCGGCCACTTCCGCCCTAGGACTTCCGCCTTCCGGGTGTCCCATCTAATGGCCTCCGGCCGGAAGCACTCCAAATCTAGTGTCACCGGGGTTAGGAAGCAAAGTCTCGAAGCCAAGGAGTCGGCGGCTTTATCAGCTGGGCAGCCCCCCATCCTGGGCGAGTGCCGTTCTATCTCCTTGGCGGCTCCAAAGCACCTGTCGGCCACCCTCAGCAGTGGGTTCTTACGAGCGACAAGAGCTGCAACCAATCAAGGAACAGCACGTTAGGCGTGTGGGCCCATGAGGAGCAGAGGGGTGGTTTGAGCCGGCGGGCGGGGCGAGGGTAGTCTGCGCAGCGGGGCCTGCTGGAAATTGTAGTTTTTGTGGGCCGTTCGCGCGAACTGGACGCGCGAAGACTGCAATACCCTCGGGCTCTGGCCACTGATCACGTTTCTGGAATAACATTTACCAGTCGGGGAGAAAGGAGCTCTAAATTGAAGGCGGAGGCCTGGCTTCGAACCTCCGCTTCACCTTGAACTCACCGGGTATCTCCGGACGAGCCTTTAAGCCGTCTCTGGCTTCATCCGCCCCAGCTCTTCTACTTTGGAGACTGAGAATTCCTAGTTATTTGAGGGCCTCCACTACCCCCAACTCCTCAGACCCAGTCGGGTTGAAGTCGCATCCTGGTCTGGGACCCCAGTGATGGTTGGAATCCACCCGGATCCAAACGATCGCAGTGCCTGGTGCAGGAAGAAGCGTCTGTGAACGGTCCAGGAAAGCTGGCTATGGATCAAAGTTGAAAACTGGTGGCCGTAGCCAAATAGAGCTCCATTATACCTGTTAATGCTATTTCAATAAATAATTTAGCTATCAATATTTTAAAAATCAGAATACTTAAATTCACATTAGAAATCCAGATTTCCGGTTTTTCACGAAAAATTGGAAGATCTAGGCCTATGTTATCACAAGACAACAATGGGCTGGAGCTGAATGGGAATGGGACCGCCTCTACAAACGCCTTTCTCTTCTAGGCTAGTCTGGCCACTAATTTACAGCACTTGCCTGGCCCCTCTATACATCTGAATTAATGACTCCTGTTACATACATACAGCTTATACATACACAAGGTGGAATGTTGGTTGGTTGCTTCTGTATTTTATTTTAAGAAGCTGCCCTCTTAAATGAATGAATTTATTCAGGATTGAGTGCTGAGACATCTTTTCTGAGTCATATATTTTTAATTAATTATTTTATTATTAAAGTAATATGTTCTTGTGTGTATGTGTAAATATATATCTATAAAGAGAGAACAGACATGTACACCAAAAGTCCTCTGCCTCTCCCCTCCCAAGGGGTGTACCCTTCCAGAGATTTACCTATACCTATGCAAACAAGAACATGTACATTCCACTGGACCTCCATGAAGGCTGGGATTTTTGTCAGCTAGGGTCACTACTGAATCCCCAGCACCTAGAAAAATGCTTAGCACATAGGAGGTGATTAATAAGTAACTGGTGAAAGAAGGAATATTTTTTCTAGAACCTGGGATGAGATCATGAAGAATGAGTAGAAGTTTACCACGAAGAGGAAAAGCATCCTCAGCAGAGGGAATAAGAGATGGGAAGCTAGGGAGGGATACCTGAAAGTATAAGGAGTACAAGCAGTTTGGAAGGGCTGAGAAAGGGGTGGGGTGGGGGCACGTGCAGTTTGGCTGAAGCCAAAACTTGAAAGGCCTTCAATTCTCAGCTAAGGAACATGGCCTTTTCCAGAACTCAGTTTGACGATTTTAAGCACGGGAATAACTAATGCGGATTTCTTTGGTTACAGTGAGAAGCGATTGGAGAGGGTAACAGGGTGGCTGAATTCATTATGAAAAGATGAGAGAGGGCAAGGAGGTCTCCACAGGGAGGAGGATCAGAAGTCCCAGCTGGAGATGACATCAATCACTGATCCCCTACAGGAAACCAGGGAAAGAGAAGTTGAGAACAGTGTCCCGTGGGGTGGAGGTACTTCACTACTCTCACGGAATAGAGATAACTAGATAAGGGCAAAGAGATGGGAAGTCCCAGGGCCGGCTAGGGTCCCTGTGGTAAAGATGTGATCAGAGCTGGAATGGCCATTCATGGTGGAGAAGTGGGGAAAGGGATTTCTGCAGCAGCAGGAAAGAATGAACTTAGCAGGGGGTCCTAGGCAGAGCTTGTGACTGGGCCTTCAGGAGGAAGATTAGCTGTTGGCACTTGGGCTGATGGTGGCCCAGGTCCAGCTCCTGCACCCTAAGCACATTCACAGTTTAGCAGATCTCTAACACGACATATATTCTTAGGCAACTCCCATCACTCTGAGCCTGTTTCCTGATCTGTAAAATGGGAATAATGAGCACCACTCACAAAGTGGTTGTAAGAATCAAATGAAGTCATGTTGGAAGACACCCTGTAAACTGTAAAACATCCTGTGAAGCCAAGGTCTGGATCCATGGCACAGGGGACAGGCAGTCTCTGCTCACATCATATACCCTATAGTAGCCCCCATACAGGCACACTGACACAGTCACACTCCTTATTAAGACTGCCACTGGCAATGCTCCAGGCGTATAAGTACCCCCCACCCCCACCCTTTACACACACCTAGTCTGACTGAATCTCTCTGTCTGGGTAGCCTGAAGCAAGGTGTCTGGAGAGAGGTGAGTCAGGGTTGAGAGAAGAGGTATATTAACTAGAGTAATGCTAGCTGCTATGACAAATAGACCTTAATGTGTATAATGACTTGAAGAAGTTTATTTCTTGCTCACATAACTGATGCTGGCATACCAGGTTGATGAGTGGGTTGATGGGTGGCTTGCCTACATGGAACCCTGGCTCCCTCCTTCTTGTGGCTCCACAATCCCCTCAGGCCTCATTGTCTTCTGTACCCAGCCAGCTAAAGAAGAAAGAGTGTCGAGTGCACACATCTACTTCTTCAAAGCTTTGGCCCAGAAACAGTGCACATCATCTCACTCATAGGCAATCAGTGGGAACTAGTCACATGGCCACACCTTTCTGCAAGGGAGCCTGGGAAATTCATTTCAGCCATGTGCCAGGAGGAAGAGGGCATGAATTTGTGGTGAAGAAAAAGCACCCGATTTTTGCCACTGAAGGGATCAGGTCACAGCCCTAGAAGGGGGCAGTGGGACAGAGTGTAGACTATGGAGAAGGGGATATTGCCTTGTCCCTATAGGAAGAGTAGCCCACATCAGAATAGTGGGTGACTTGAGGACTCTAAATAAACCCACACTTTGAGTAAAATATAAGTCCTTGTTGTAGGGACATGCACATGCAAGGAAGAGATAAACTGGGCTGGCCGGTTAGCTCAATTGATTAGAGCACAGCCTTATAACACCAAGGTCATGACTTTGGATCGCCATACCAGCCAGATGCCAAAAAAAAAAAAAAAGAAAGAAAGAAAGAAAGAAAGAAGAGAAAAGAAAAGAAAAAAAAGAGGTAAAGAATCTGAGTTCATCTGGGGCTGGGTTGGAGCTGAGAGGGCAGGGTGCCACCTTTCAGCTGGCAGTACTTACTATGAACTGAATGTTTGTGTCCCCCCCAAATTCATATGTTGAAACACTAAACCCTGATGTGATGGTATTTGGAGATGGGTAATTAGGTCATGGGGGTGGTGGCTTACGATGGGATTAGTGCCCTTATAAGAAGAGACAGGAGAGAGTTCGCTTCCTTTCTCTCTGCTCTGTGCGAGGACACAGCAAGCAGACAGGTGTCTGCAAACCAGGAAGAGGGAACTCACCAGACACCAGATCTGCTGGTGCCATGATCTTGGACATCCCAGCCTCCAGAACTGTGAGAAATAAATGTTTGTTATTTAAGCCACCCAATCTATGGTATTTCTGTCATAGCAGCCTGAGCCAGGACAGTCATACACCAAGGCGGGATTTCTATGTGAGTAATTATGAATGCATACATGTCTGTGGGCATAGATGTCCCTGATCCATTCCCCTACGCAGGTGGGTAAGCATGTGCTTACCTGGTTGCACATGTCACTGGGGTGTCTGAGTACACACATGCCTATGTGTAAGTGTGCCTGTCACATGCACCTGTCCAAGGGTCTGTGCATGCATATTACTGAACGCCTAGGTGCCCCTTATGAGGGAGAGCCTATTTGTTTATGACATGGACACCTGAATGGTCTGTGTGTCCATAGCCATGCCTACAAGTTGTCCATCTGTATACACACCTGGCACATGCACAGAAGGACAGCCTGCAGGCGTCTAGGGATAGGGGCAGTAACTCTGTACATGCACACCTGTCTGGGAGAGGGGTGCTGAGTCTGCACATGCCCGGCATGCAGTAGGTATGAGATAAGTGTGTGTTGAGTCAAATACATACGTGTGTGGCTACGCAGGTCCCACTGCACAGGTCTGCATGTCCATGCCTGTGGACACCCTGTCAGGGTGTACAAAGGTGCCTAGGTATGTTTGCATTCACTTCTGTGTGCCCAGACATGACCTTGGAGCTCCCTGGGCTGGGCCAAGCCAGGCTGGGCTCCTCGCTGGGCACATGGAGGCCTCTGCCGAATACTGGTTCCTGCGTGGGGTGCTGCCGAGGGTGCGTTGGCGGCGTGTGTGTGCGTGAACGTGTGTGTGCGTGTGTAGGAAGAGGCATTCGCTCTCTTAGACCTTGCTTCTTTCTGTGGTTTGGTTTCTATAGAGACACTTCCTGTGGCAGAGAAAAGAGGTAGTGAGCTGGTGTTTCAGGATGTGAGGGCCCGCAGGAGCAAGCCGCTCTCTCTGCTGCCTGCCCGTCACCGTGCAAGCTCTGGCCGGCACTGCTCACAGTCCCCATGGTGGGCGGCCCCCGCAGCAGGGACCCGTGATCGGCGGCAGCATGCCAGGGAAACCCAAGCACCTGGGTGTCCCCAACGGGCGCATGGTGAGTGTGGGCTCCTGGCCAGGGCCACCAGGAGGGGGTGGGCGCACCCAGGGTGGAGTGCAGGAGGCGCACCCAGCAGGGCCAGGCAAGAGTGAAGGAGGCGCACCCACAGGCTGCCAGCGGTCAAGAGAAGTTGGGTACAGAAAGTAGCACGCAGTGGGACCTGGTGTCCTCACCCCAGGACCCTTCCAGATGTCTCTACTCAGAACCTGGTGCAACCCTAGGGATGAAACCAGAGCAGAGCGGACATGGGATTCTGGTCCAGTCCCCACTGCTCTGTCACTTGCTACCGCAGCTAGCCTCATCTCGGGCTGCCTGCATCTGGGGGACCAGGGAGGCCTGACGCACCTCCTGCCCTGACCCACCCCCACAGTGGCCCAAGCCCTGACACCTCACTCTGCCTCAGCTCTCCCCTCCTCACCCCATGCCCTCGGTGCCCAAGGTCAGGCTAGGGGCAGCCCTCGCTGGGTCACTGCCCTCTAGTCAGATCTGCTCCGGAGGCTTCCTGCCAGAACTAGCATTCTTTGGTAGCCTGGGATTGGTCAGCAGGGTCAGGCCAGGTTGATGCAGCTTCTGCCTATTCTATCCCTGGGCTTCCAGGAAGGGCGGAGGTAGCTGAGCACTAGGAGGTCCCTGGCTGCAGCTGCCCCACCCCCTGCACTCTCCCTTGGCTGCTTAGACCCTGGCCAGAGCTGCCCTTGGAGGGTCTGGCTCTTTTTGTCCATTCAACAGATGGGGCAGGCCTTGCTGGGTCTCCCTCTCCCCCTAGGGTCCCAGCCCACTTGACAGAGCCCCTCCTAACACCCTAGGAAGGCCAGACAGTGTCCTGGCCCCCCACTGGGCTTTGGCCTAGTACTGTGGGACAGACAGCAGCAGGCGGTGGGACCTGGTATCTTCACTCCAAGACCCTTCCAGATGGCCCTGCTCAGAGCCTGGTGTAACCCTGGGGATGAGACCAGAGCGGAGCGGGTTCAGAGAGACCTGGGTTCCAGTCCCAGCTCTGTTGTCCCTTACTGGGGGGCCAGGAGGAAGGCCCTCTCTGAACCTCAGTTTCCCCATCCATACAATGAGGAGATTAGAATGGATCTCAAGCGTTTGTTCAGATGATCAAATGGAATGATGAATATGAGCCTTTGACCCATTGTGGGGGCTACATAAATGTCAGCCCAATGCCCCCTCTTCAAGGATCTCCTGCCTCATGAATAAGCCAAGCCACCCCCTATCCCCACTCCTGCTTTCTAATTTCCGTCTGTCCTCCCAGCATCTCTTTCCAGCTCCAGGGTAGCTGGGTGGGAAAGAGGCAAATCCTCCAAAGATGGCTCAGCCCCCCATCTCACTGTCTCTACCACCAACCCAGCTTTGAAAGTTTAGGAAGAACCCACCTGCCTTGCACTCCCACCCCAGAGGCATGACGCTTGGCTCGCACCCCCTGGGTGTTTAGGCCATGAAGCCAAGGAGGAGCAGCCCCACACCCACCCTGGAAAGGCAGCTGAATCAATGCTTCTGGAACAGTGCCCACAACTTCAGGGCAGCTGAGGGGGCCTGGAGACAGACCCAGTCTCTAGCCCTCCTGGGCCAGCTTGTGGCTTCTCTACCCAAAAGGCATTCAGAGTAGGGAAGGGCCCCCAACTCTGCCTCTAGTCCCATTGAGCCCAAGGATGCCCTGGCTCCACTCAGCAACTGTCACACACGGGTTAATCTTTGCCCTTCCTGGGCCAGTTCTGAACTCTCTGTGCCACCTCTTGGAATCTCAAGGGTCACAGATTGGCTGCTCGCTGGTCACTGGGCAGCTTTCTGAGGCCATGTTTGGCTGGGACAAGGAGGCATGAGCCAGCATTGGCGTCTGTGGCAGGGATGTGGATGGAGAGGCACCTGCAGGCCAAGTCTGGTTCCTTCCATGAGTTACCTCCCAGAGGAGGCTCAGAGGAGTACATGCCATGCCGAGGTCAGCCGCGAGGAGAGGGGTCAGCATTGCACCCTACGCAGCCTGGCTCTGGTTCTCTCCCACTTTCCCCTGTCTGTCATTCCCTGCTGAGGCAGCATTAGCTGTGAGCCTCGCCTTTCTGCCACTCCGCTTGTCAGGCAGCAGCAGTGAAACCCATCACTTAGAGCCAGCCCCTCCCAGAGATGTCTTCACACAGCCCCCACTGCCACTTCATGTGTTCACTCACTCATTCATTCAATGACCCTTCCTTAGGGCCTGCTCTGTGCTGCCCCCATCCTAGGCACTTAAGACCCAGCCCAATCTTCCCCATCCCCAGCCCTCAAGCAGCTCCCGGTCTAGCAAGGCACGAAAGACACGGGCAAAAATACCAGAGTTCAGGCTTGGGTAAGAGCCATCGGTCAGGGAGAGAGGAAGCTTGAGGGGGACCTGGCAAGGGAGAGCCAACTTCTCAACTAACTTTGTGCACCATGGCATAGAATGGTACAGGCACAGGCCTGAATGTGGGAAAACTGGATGTCTGAGCAGGTATGTGGCCCAAGGCGAGGCTGGCGGTTAAGCCGAGAGAGGGGCAGTTATCACATTGTCACTGTCAAGGGGACCCGGTTAGTCTTCCCCTCCTGGCAAGGAAACCTGCGAGGCAAATCCCACATACCTCTCTCTTTTCTCGGTGTCCAGCTCAAGGCCTGTGCTCAAGTTCAGGGTGGCCTTACAGTGGAGCCATGGCTATGGGTCAGCTCCACAGGGCTAGATCACATTGAACCAGCTACCATGGTTCCATGTGGACATCCCCAGAGAGGGTCTCACAGCCGCAGTTCTCCAAGCTGGGATGAAACTAAATGATGGCATAGAATCCCCAACACAGAAGAGGCTCTGTAAATCAGCCCTCCCTTCAAGGCCTGACCCCTCCAGAGGGCACAGTTCAAGAGGAGCCTCCAGACTCTCATCCCCAATCGGCCTTGCACACCTGTGCCCAAGAGCTGAGGCTGAGCTCTCCTGTCCACACAGGCAGGCAGCTTGGGTGGAGGGTGGGGAGACCTCAGGCTCCAGATCCAGGCAAACTTGGGTTCTAATCTCAGCTGTAGGACTTCTTTGGGCCTTGGTTTGCTCATCTATAAAACAGCGGTAATAATATCTGCCACACAGGATAAAGATGCGAGGATGGAGTGAGAACATGCGTGAGTGCTGCCTGAGAGTGGCTGTCACCCAGTCGGAGCTCACCCTCACCTTGGTGTTCTCAGGCACAGCAGCTCCTAAGAAAAAGTACAGCAAACCAAGGCCCAGCCACGGTCAGGGTGTCACCGGCCGCCACACCCTTCCTCCCCCTTTCTTCCCGTTTTCCCCCATTCACTCACCACTTCTCCTCAAGCAGGCTGAAGCAGGACAAGGCCAGCCCCGCTCAGCACAACTCCCCCAGGCCTGGCAGGTGGGTGGGTCAGAGCCCAGCCAGCGGCACCTGCACCCCCTCTGCCACAGGTGCTGCTCTGCCTGTGCCATGCCTGGGCTTTCACTCATGGGGCCTCATTCATCCTTCCCAGCAGCCCCAGGAGATTTGGAATGCTGAGCCCCGTGCTATTCAGGGGGGAAACTCAGGCTCAGGGAAAAGAAGTCGCTTTCCCCCAAATGGCAGAGCTGGAATTGGGCTCCATCCTCACTCCCTCCCATCTCTAGATTTTTGTCCCTATACCACCTCAGCCCCAGCTATCAGATCAGCAACTCGTGGGGCAAGAGAGGTTTGGGATGGAGAACTACAGGTAGCTGACAAGGTGGTGCTCACAGGCTGAGCATCCCTGGTGGAGGGGGCGCAAGGGCCAGGGCCCTGATGGCTGCGTGGGATCACTAGGGCAAGGAGGGTGCTTCCCACCAACCAGGCCTGCCCTTCAGGAGCTACCAGAGTGGCAGGGGAAAGAGGCCTAGACAGCAGTGGGCATATGTGTGGAAGGAAGGAGGGAGGGATTCAGAGGATCTGATGCTTGGAGATTACTAATGTCAATGGGCAGAGGTTGGGGAGCAGTTTGAGGGGATACCCAAGCAGAGAAAATGGCCAAGTGGGAAACAGGAGTGTGTAGGGGTGTGGGGAAAATAGAAAAGTTTGATAAAGTGTAGGGTGGAAGTAAGGGGAGGGAAACAGGTGAGGCTGGAGGGGTTCATTATTCAGGCCCAGGTAGGGTTTTAGCTGTCACCTGGCAACTGCAAGTGCCTCAGCGGGCAGGGAGGGCTCTGAGCAAGGGAGAAGCTGAGTTGCAGCTTCAGGGAAGGACAGAGGAGGGCAGGGCTGGGCAACCTCAGCGGAGGGACAGGGTGAGTCAGGATGACTCCCGGAGAACTGCAGGGAGGGCGGTGACAGTGTCTCTGAGTCTGGAGACACAGCTGCAGAGCAGGCCAGGGGAGGAAGACCACAGAGCAGGGCGCTGGACGGTGCACAATGGCGAAACTGCCAGGCTGCAAAGGGACCTTGTAGTCGGGTCGCAAAGGGCTTCAGCTCTCCGTCCTTGCACCTCCTTGCCACCCCCAGGAGATGGGATTTTCTCCTGTAGCCGTGGGAAGTGCTGACATTCATTGGGGGAGGTGACTGATGACGCAGGTCAGCTGGGGGAGTGCAGAGGGAGGGTGTGTCCAGAGCCAGTTCCACACCCAGCCGTGCTCTGCACAAACTTTCTCTCCTCCTCAGCAACTTCTTATCCCCACGCTCCAGATGGGAGACCAAGCTCAGGGAGGAAGCCCAAGGTTGTAAAGCTAGGAGAAGGAGGGGCTGGGATTTGCATCTGGGTCTGACAGACCCCAACACCTGTGCTCTTTCCTCTATGGCAGGGGTCGCAAACTCACTGCCCACAGGGTCAGGCACCAAGATTAATACGACAACAATAATAATTGTATCATTCCTTGAATATTTATGAGGGTACTTCAAAAAGTTCATGGAAAGGGCCTGCCCAGTGGCGCACTGGAGAGTGCACCGCCTGGGAGTGCGGCGGTGCTCCCACCGAGGGTTCGGATCCCATGTGGAGACCGGTTCCCGCTCACTGGTTGAGCACGGTGCAGGCGCAACACCGAGGGTTGCGAGCCCGTTGCTGGTCAGTAAAAAAGACAAAAAGGAAAAAAAAAAGTTCATGGAAAGGGCCTGCCCAGTGGCGCACTGGAGAGGGCACCGCCTGGGAGTGCGGCGGTGCTCCCACCGAGGGTTCGGATCCCATGTGGAGACCGGTTCCCGCTCACTGGTTGAGCACGGTGCAGGCGCAACACCGAGGGTTGCGAGCCCGTTGCTGGTCAGTAAAAAAGACAAAAAGGAAAAAAAAAAGTTCATGGAAAGGGCCTGCCCAGTGGCGCACTGGAGAGGGCACCGCCTGGGAGTGCGGCGGTGCTCCCACCGAGGGTTCGGATCCCATGTGGAGACCGGTTCCCGCTCACTGGTTGAGCACGGTGCAGGCGCAACACCGAGGGTTGCGATCCCGTTGCTGGTCAGTAAAAAAGACAAAAAGGAAAAAAAAAAAGTTCATGGAAAAATAGAAGTGAAAGACAATACAAATCTTTCCACGAACTTTTTGAACCACCCTCATGCTACATGCCAGATAGTGTTCTGAGTTCTTTATAGATATTTAACTCATTTAATCACAGCAACCTTTTGAAGTCAGGACTGTTACTTGCCCCATTTTTAGAGAGGAAGAACCTGCAGCACAGAGAGGTTAAACTCCCTTGTCTGAGGTCACACAGCACAAATTTGACCTCCCAGATTTGAGCCTTCCTCCCACTGCCTCAGCAAGTAATGCATCAAACTAGCCCCAGTGGCCTCTGATTTGAGCGTGAGCCCCTTCTAGGGAAGGCAGTGGCTGCTCAGTGCCAGTCAAGGTTGCCACGCCAGGAAGAAGCTCTGCGTAGCTGGAGCCTCGCATTCTTAAAGAGGAAGTAGAAAATGGGTTTTATGGAAAATCTCTTGATTTTAAAACTTAAAAAAATCATGAGGGCCAAGATAATAATAATATTTGACGCATCTGCAGTCCAGGTCTGGCCCACGGATGGCTGCTCTGTGACCTGGGTGCTTCCAGGTGGGAGTAGGGAGGAGAGGAGATTCCAGCCAGGAGGGCAGGGGAGACTTTCTGGGGAGGGAGATAGTTTGCAGGCCTGTTTCCAGTGAGGATGGAAAAGAGGGACAGGTGGTAGAAGCTCCTGGACAGGGCCTAGTGAAAATGTGGGAGGTGAGAGGGAGGAATTGGGGATGACTCAAGCCCTGGTGTTGGGAGCCCAGGTGATGGGAAGAAAGATGGGATGCAGGGAAGCTGGTTTGGTTCTCTGTTTTGGTGGGGGCAGAGGCTTCCATTTGGGACTGGCTGAATTTGAGGGGCTTGTGGGACATTTGAGGGAAGATGTTAGCAGGAAGTTGACTGTGTGCTTTTGGAACTGGAGATCTGTGGGTGGGACAAAGGGCCCAGGACAGAACCAGGGAGGGGTAGAGGCCACGTTGCATGAGAAGATCATGAGGAAACTGGAGGAACTGAGCTGCTGGGAAGGTAGGAGGAGAACCCAGGGAAGCCACTGCAAGAGTCGTTTTGAGAGGAGGGTTTTTCTGTTCTTACTAGTGATTGGGATTCCCAGACAAGTCAGGGGTGTGCATTGGGTGGAGGGGGTAGGTAGAAAGGAGTTGGCCTCTACACTGTGGTCCCTGGACCAGCAGCATCAGCATTGCCTGGAAACTTGTTAGAAATTGAGAGCCTTGGGCCCCAGCCTGCATCTTCTGAGCCTGAATCTCTGGAGGTGGGGTCCTCCTGGTCACTCCAATGTACGCTGAAGTTTGAGAAGCACTGCTCTATACTATAAAATAGCATCCGATGCCTCACCCAAGGTTGGCTGGGACCTAGGGGAGACCTGGGCCCCCAGGGGAAACAGTTGCAATAAGGAGATCACTGGCTACAGAGACCCCTCTCCTTCAAAGGCACAGCAGACATACAGCCCTTACCACACACTGGCCATTCTTCTATATGCTGTAAATCTATTACACTGATTTGATCTTCACAGCCCCAGGAAGGGCATTACTATTATTAGCATCATCCCCTATTTACAGATAGAGAGAAACAAATTGACTAACTTGGCCAAAGTCACCCAGCTAGTGAGGGCAGCGACAGGATTAAAGTCTGCTCTAACCCACTATGCAATGCTCGCCTGGACTCACCCAGAAGGGGCTGGAGAAGGAAGGAAACAGGGTTGACCAGAAGGTACCTGGCATAAGTCCGAGCAAACAGTGGATGGCACATGGTGGAAAGAGAACCAGGGGCAGCCTGAGCTAAACCCCAGCCAAGCAGTGACTGACTGGGGAAGCCCAGCGTGGCTCTCCAGGTGGAGGAGAGCACAGTTCCAGCTCCTGGGGGCTGGGCTCAGAAACTGTCCCTTAGGAATCTTTACTACACTCTTCTCTGACTTTCTACCTCGGGTCTCTTGTAGGTTCTGGCTGTCTCAGATGGAGGTAAGTGATAAAATGTGTGAGGAGGCCTGGAAGAGAAGAAAGGAGGAGGGGGTGGAAATGAGTGTACCCACAGAGTGGATGCCTACATGGGGGTGGGCCAGGGTCTGGGAAGGCAGCAAGGCTCACCCCTACCTGTCCATCCCCCTGCAGAGCTGAGCAGCACGGCGGGGCCCCAGGGCCAGGGCGAGGGCCGCGGCAGCTCCCTCAGCATCCACAGTCTCCCCAGTGGCCCCAGCAGCCCCTTTCCCACCGAGGAGCAGCCTGTGGCCAGCTGGGCCCTGTCCTTCGAGCGGCTGCTGCAGGACCCGCTGGGCCTGGCTTACTTCACTGTAAGCCCTGGGGTGGGGTGGGGAGGGCAGATGGCAGAGGCCACCGCAGCGGGGAGGAGCAGGGGGCATGGGAGAGGGCGTGGATGGAGATTCAGGCTGGCCAGAGTGGGGCTCCTCCGGCAGCTCCCTCTTCCAGCGCTTCTTTGGCACCCGCTTCCTCTTCTCCCAGCTGGGAACTCTTCTTCCTTCTCTCTGTCCTCGTCTCTGCCTCTCATTTTCTCTCTGTGCCTCCGGATCTGGCTGCATCTGTCTGTCTGGCCCTGTCTGGCTTTGTCTCTCGGCCCTGTGTCTGTCTCTTTGACGACATCTCCTGATTCTCTCCCGGTGTCTCTGACTGCCTCCCCCTTTTTCCCCTCTCAGGAGTTCCTGAAGATGGAGTTCAGCGCGGAGAACGTGACTTTCTGGAAGGCCTGCGAGCGCTTCCAGCAGATCCCGGCCAGCGACACCCAGCAGGTGGGGGAAGGGGGACTTGGGGCAGAGGGGTGAGGACGAGGGCTTGGGCGCTGCCCCCTGACCCGCTCCTCCCCTCCCTCCTCCCTCAGCTAGCTCAGGAGGCCCGCAGCATCTATCAGGAGTTCCTGTCCAGCCAGGCGCTGAGCCCGGTGAACATCGACCGGCAGGCCTGGCTCGGCGAGGAGGTTCTGGCCGAGCCCCGGCCAGACATGTTTCGCGCCCAGCAGCTTCAGGTGACGCCTCAGGGGGCGTGGCCTGGGGTGCGAGGACGGGGCCTTGGGCGGGAGAGAACTAGAGCAGCGGCGGGGCCAGATGCGGGCGCCCAGTCTGAGCGGCCAAGGGTTGGCGTAAATTTGGGTGCGGGGACAGAGCCCAACGCAGGGGCAGGGCGGGGGCCAGAGGGCGGTACCGAGGCTGAGCCAGGGGGCGGGGCCAGGGGTGGGGGCGGGGTCCGGACCCTGGAGGTGACCGTCAGAAACAGAGCTGGAGGGGGCTGGGGGCTCCCTAGGGCGGGGGCGGGGCCGGCGTCCCCCGCGCACCCCCCGGCTCACCGCGCCCGCGCTTGCCCCTCAGATCTTCAACCTGATGAAGTTCGACAGCTATGCGCGCTTCGTCAAGTCCCCGCTGTACCGCGAGTGCCTCCTGGCCGAGGCCGAGGGGCGCCCCCTGCGCGAACCTGGCTCCTCGCGCCTCGGCAGCCCTGACGCCACAAGGAAGGTGCGGAGGAGGGGCCGCGGTAGGCAGGGGGCCCTGCAGGACCGTGTGCAGGAGGGGACGCTCCCGGATGCAGATCTACGGCGGTGTGCCCGCGGTCTGCATGCGGGCTAGGGCCCAGCCCGGTGCCAGCGCCTTCCCTATACCCACAGAAGCCGAAGCTGAAGCCTGGGAAGTCGCTGCCGCTGGGCGTGGAGGAGTTGGGGCAGCTGCCGCCTGCTGAGGGTCCTGGGGGCCGCCTGCTCCGCAAGTCCTTCCGCAGGGGTGAGGGCAGGAGCGGGCCATAGAGATGAGGGAGGGCTGGGAGCTGGGGTAAGCTTTGGGAACGCCCCCTTCCTCCTTCTGGGCCCACAGACAGTCTGTAAGTCTGTGAAAACCGAAATGCAGGTCCCTGTGGCCGCCACATTCCCCTGGGTAGTTCGGTTCCCAGGCTAGACCCTAGAAGTTTGGGAAGCCTTCACGGTAGCGACGCTATCGGGGACCCAAGCCACATTGGGGCCCTGAAGGATGGTCTCAAACAAGGTCCACCAGGTGGAGAAGAGGCCTCAGCAGAGGGATGGGTGAGGGGAGGAGGGGCTGTTGGCGTTCACTGCTCCCTCTGCCCTAGAGCTGGCCGGGGCAGCCACAAACTCCCCCTTGCGCCGAGAGTCTCAGGGCTCTCTCAACTCCTCCGCTAGTCTGGACCTCGGCTTCCTCGCCTTTGTCAGCAGCAAATCTGAGGTGAGCCGACTGCTGAGGGAGGGGAGATGCGTTATGGGCTAGGGCCACTACTCAGGCCCCTTTACACGGTCTCCGTCATTCCCCGTCGCCATCCCCACTTCCATCCCCCAGCTTGCTCTGCACCGCCAACCCCTCAGCCTCCTTGCTTTTCTTCCTGTCCTCACTACATTGGGTCCCCATGCATGTGACAGGTTCATATCCTTGGTCAGCAGATATGTGCACATGTGTGGGTGCCCAGATGTACACAATCTGAGTGTGGGAGTCAGTGGGTGGACCTGTCTGTAGGTGCCCATATGCCTTCCTGTGCCTACAGGTGTTCCTGTAGGAGGATGTATCTTTGCCTGCCTGCAGGTGTGCCCTTGGACATAGGTGTGCCCTTGGACATAGGTGTGCATGTCTGAGCCCTCAGCTTACCTGTCTGTGTACCTGTCTGCACGTCCTTGCATGTGTATGCATAACCTCCCCCCACTCCTACCCAGAGCCACCGGAAGAGTCTTGGGAGCACAGAGAGTGAGAGCGAAAACCGGCCCGGGAAGTACTGCTGCGTGTACCTGCCAGATGGCACAGCTTCCTTGGCCCTGGTCCGATCCGGCCTCACCATCCGCGACATGCTGGCAGGCATCTGTGAGAAACGAGGCCTCTCTCTACCTGACATCAAGGTCTACCTGGTGGGCAATGAACAGGTGTGAACCTGGCCTGGCCCCAACTTTAACCTTCCTGATCTTGAACCCAACTCTATTACTAATTCCAACCCCATCCCCTATCATCACCTCCTTCCTAACTCCAGCTCTTACCACAAACCTACCCCATCCCCATTCCTAACTCCAAACCAACCCCAGCACCTACTCCTCACTCAAAGTTAGACATCCACCCATCCCTCACCCCATATCCATCCTGGTTTCCAGCTTCATCTGTCATCCTACTGTGATGTTCTCTGGGAGGTATAGTGGGGAGAACCGCTGCTGGAGCTGGGGTTTTTTCCCCCCCATCACTCCCAGAATTCCGATTGCCATCCCTGCAGGCCCATCCTGAAATGGCCATTTTGGGGGAGCCCTCACCTCCTCTGCCACTAGGAGCACCCAACTGCTCCTAACCAATCAACAGCTTTTCTTAAGGTGCCAACTAGCATCCAGCTTTAAAGAGTCTAGGGAAAACTCACTTTAAACTAAACCACCAATAATGAAGATCTAAAGGAAGAATGCTACAGTCTGGGGGACTGTCAGGATTTCATTCACCTAGTAGACAAGTCTAGGTGGCTGGGTAAAGGGACCTCCACCTGGGCTCTGTCCTCCAGGCCCATCGGCTGGAGTTGAGCCAGGCAGGATGTGTTCAGGGAGGAGTCAAACTTCAGAGTCTCTTGGGGGAAGGTAGGCATTTCTGGCTGGTGCCTGGAAGGCTGCATGGAAGAGGCAGCAGTTGAGGAGGATGTGGAGGAGTTAGCCTGGCAGAGCTGTGGGGGAAGACATTCCAGGCAGAGGGAACAGCTTAAGCAAAGGTCTGGAGGTGGGTACATGCAGGGCATATTCAGGGGCCAGGAGCTTGGGGGTGCCAGGGCAGCAGTGGGACACAGTCTGCCCATTCCCTCAGGCCTCCAGAGCGCAGCCAGCAGCTCAGATGGGCTCTCATGCCTGCTAAATATAACTTCACCACCCACACTCCACCTGTCCCTGCAGCACAGCACACGCCTACTCCCTGGGAGAGGCTTGCTTCGCCCCCACTCCTGGGCTGGCACAGGCAGTGGGACCTCTGGGGTGGTAATCACTACAGTTACTGTTTATGTACATACTGTGTGCCGGGCACCATGCCAGATGCTTCACATCCTCTGGCTTCACAGTAGTCTTGGTGGGGGGGAGCTTTTTACAATGGGGAGACAAGTGTCCTTAGTAGGAGGAGCTGGAGAGAAGTGGGCAAATGTCAAAAAGAGGACAAAGCCTGGGTGGCTGATCAAAGGTGGGTGGTGAGGGTGGAAATGCATCCGGCTGGTCTGGTTGTGTTTCACATGCCTGAAGGACAAGGGGGCAGCTGTCCGGGAGGCAGATCCTGTCCTGCCCCAGGAAGAGTGGGTCAATGATCTGGGACCTAAGCCTGCCCCTTACCAAAGCAGTCCCATTACCGTTTCATGTACACCGCACAACGTTTCTGTAACCCTGGTCCTTTCCCAGCCTCTGTCCAACATTCTTGCCTCTCTTCTCTCTGGCCTTGGCTTTACCCGGCTCCAATTCCAGCCTGGTCCCTACCTCATTGCTCCCCTATGGCTCTCCCACCCATCCGCCCTTCCTACAGGGCGCCCCAACCGCAGCCACTGGAGGAAGTGAGGGTGGTTCTCTCGGACCCTGGGGGATGGCTTGGGGTGGGGGAAGAACTCTTAGATCCTTCCTGGCGTCCACAGAAGGCCTTGGTCCTAGATCAGGACTGCACCGTGCTGGCGGATCAGGAAGTGCGGCTGGAGAACAGGATCACCTTTGAGTGAGTGTCCCCCACCAGGCTGGGTTCCGGGTCTCAATACATGCTTCCGGCGCTGTTCTGGCTACTAGTCTCCCCCAGACCCCGACCCTCGTGTTAACCCCGTGCCCAGGCTAAAGCCCCATCCCAAACCAATCCCGCCCTCCCCCGTTCAAGCTCCGTCGCCTCTCGGTCCTGTCCTGGGGTGAGCTGGGGGAAAGAGGGGCGGGCTCTCCGCCCTTCCGCAGCCCGAGGGTCCCGCGCAGGCTCGAGCTGGCGGCGCTGGAGCGCGTGGTGCGGATCTCGGCCAAGCCCACCAAGCGACTGCAGGAGGCGCTGCAGCCTATCCTGGCCAAGCACGGCCTGACCTCTCAACAGGTGGCTCTGCACCGGGTGAGCTGCAGGGCAGCGGGGCAGGAGGGCATGGGGCGCGCGGAGCCGGCTGCTTGTCCCACGGGCTGCTGACCTCTCCCCGCAGGCAGGCGAGAAGCAGCCACTGGATCTGGAGAAGCTAGTGAGCTCGGTAGCTGCCCAGAGACTGGTTTTGCACACTCTTCCAGGTAGGGGATGTTGGCCCCAGGGCTTGATCTTCGGGAAGGCTCTGGCACCGGAGGAAGGGGGTCGTATGCTAACACGAACGGTGGGGCTTTCTGCCTCAGGTGGGAAGATCCCCGAAGCTTGCGACAAATCCCCCTGCTGCAGCCAGGTGAGCGAGAACTCCTGGGCACCCTCGTCCACCCTCTGCTCCTCACCTTTTGATTGTGGCTCTCACCTCACGTTCTTGCAGGGCTGCCCTAGAACCCAGGACAAGGTCGCCCATCCCCCTTCACCACCCCCCAATTCGCTGGTGGAGGTGCCCAGTAGTGCCACTGGGAAGCGGCAGACCTGTGACATTGAAGGTAAATTGAGGGGTGGGTGGGTAGGGGCTGGGGACCAGAGGGACTAGGGCAGTGGGGATGGGGATCATTGAGGTGGTATGAGAGAGGCTTGAGCTGAGGCAGGGGCCTGAGTGCCACTGGGGCTGGAACAGGAGGACTGGGGGCCATTAGAGCTGGAGGAACAGAGGGGCTAGCATGGGGGCCAGGGACCACTGGTGCCGGGGTCAGGGAGCTTGTGGCCCTAGTAAGGCAGCAGGACTATGGTGGGCCCTCTGACTCTGTGACTGTCCCCAGGCCTGGTAGAACTGCTGAACCGGGTGCAGAGCAGTGGGGCCCATGACCAGAGAGGCCTTCTGCGAAAAGAGGACCTGGTGCTTCCAGAATTTCTGCAGCTGCCTGCCCAAGGGCCGAGCTCCCAGGAGGTCCCACCACAGACTGAATCTGCAGCCCCTCCCAGAGGGGGACCCTCAAACGCCAGTGCCCACCTGGCCCTCTGACAGCTGGCTAACAGTCTGGGCCAGCTGCATGGTGCCTGGCGGGCCAAGCATGCCATGGGTCCGCTCTGCATGCCCTGTCTGTGTCCCTGGCCCTTTTCTGCCATGGGCAGGCCCGCAGGAAGAGCCGCGAGGAGACTTATTCACAAGGGGACTCAGAGGGGCCACATTCCACAGCTGTCACCACCTGGTTCATCACATGCTCACCCACCCATCCCTTGTAGCTAGGCCATGAGGTGTGGGGGAGATAGGCCTAGCCACTTGGTGCAGGCGTGCCCAACACGGAGGGGTGGCCCTGGCAGTGCCAGCCTCCCCAGCCTGTGCCAAGCTTCAGCAAGGGGCAGGAGAAGGGGCTGGCCCCTCCTCAGGGAGCTGGTGTGAGTAAGGCCTGGGGGTGAAGGCTGGCGGCTCCTCTCTCCATCCACATGGACTCTACTGTACATAGGGACTTTGCAGTTGGCTTAGGGCAGCTGGGTTTGTCCTGGATGTTTATATTGTTATAATAATAATTAATATTATTCTGCCATGAGGTGTGTTCCTTGTGTGCCAGTCTGCCCTGTGTCCTCCCCCCTATAAACCACACTGCCTTTGTCACCAAGGTCAGTGCCAGGAAGCTCTTGGGGACCTCAGGATGTGCCTCCTAACTTCCTGTTTTCAGAACCTTTCTTCCTGACTGCACAGAATACGGGGGGTGGGGAGTGCATGAGAGAGAGAAAGTGACAGAGAGGGACAGAGAGAGAGAGAGGAAGAACTCTCCGGGGACCTGTGCCTCTGCTATCATCCTGCTATTCCTCAGTCTCTGTGGATCTGAGCACATCATTCCGGACGCTGTTCTCTGCTTCTGTTGGGCACTGATTGTGTCTCGGCACACATAACTGGGGCTCCCTCAGATGCATCTAAGGCCTATGTGAGAAACACTGGATGTTGTGGCAGGGACAGATTCTCACCCTTTCCTGCTTTGGCTGGGTGGTCTTCCCTGTCTCCAGACAGCCAGGGAAGCCCAGACCCCACACAAGGAGGGAAAACAGGGAGTATCTACCAGAAGGAGGGCCCCAGCCTTCGGGAAGAGAAGCCAGAATCAGTCCCAGCCAAGAGAGGTAAGTGCTGCGACAGACAGAGGAAGCAAGGGATGTGGGGGCCTCCAGAAGGCCCCGAGGAGGTGAGGGGATCTCCTGACTGCCTCAAACAGGTCAAGTTCTCTTCCCCACTATGGGTCTTTGCACTTGCTGCCCCCTCTGCCGGGAACTCCCCCCACCTGCCTCCTTCCCATCTAACTGGCTCTTCCTCATCCTTGAGATCTGTGGGAGACATCAGTGGGGTTTGCTGGCCACCCTGCCTTTTTTCCCTGAGGGGATGTCAGGACTCTGCCCCCTCAGCCCATTTTGCTCTGCTGGCTTAACCAGGCCCCCAGCTGCTGGGGTGGGCAGATGACCCAGTTCTGGCCAGTCAGAATTCTCCACTCCCCGGGCCTGTCAGAGTCTGGTTCAGGGATGGTCCTCTATCCCCAGCTGTTCCAATCAGAATCTCAGTCCTGGTCGTTTTTTTTTCCCCATTTCCTGGGGATTTGTAGAAAGGACTTTCAGGGAGAGAACCTGCATTCGAATGAAGCCAACCCAGTAGAGCAGAACTGACCGAGAAGGAGATTTCCAATGAAACTCAGCCATGCCTGTAGTCAAGCACCCTAGACTTTCTCCTTAAGCAAGTGAATGAACTCTTTCTGGGCGTGTGTGCCTACTGTGAGTTGGGCTTCTGAGACCTGCAGCCACAAAAGTCCTGCTTCATTGACGATCTTGGCTTAAACACCTCAGAGGATCCTTCCTTAATCACCTTATATGAAGGACTCCCCAACTTTGTTCTCTATCATTCCATTTAGTTTTCTTCCTTCACAGCACTTAGCACACTCTGCAGTTATCTTGTTTACTTATTTATACTCATGTATGGACAATATGATGTCGGTGCCCTGATGGTTGGGACCTTGTCCGTCTTATACACCGCTTTATCTCCTTGGCCTGGCGAGCTGAGAAATGATGCCACAGTCTCAGATAGTCTCAGCAAAGGATGAAGGGTCAGAGGGTCATTGGGGGTCCTGGCAGGGGACTGCATAGCACCAGGGTCACACTGTGGGGTCAGGGAGACAACCTATGTCCTTTCCCCAACCAGCCACAGAACTTCCTTCATACTTCCAGGGACCTGGGGCTTCTCCCTTGTGGGAGGAGACACTCCTCCATATTCTTCAGAATACAGAGGTGGAAGCACCAGGTGAGAGATGGGCTATCTCCCCAAAGTTAGCAGATCCTGCAGGCCAAGGCCACCCTTCACCCAACCCTGCACCTCTGCAGACCCAGCAATGATGCCTGTTACTGTCAGGCACCAACAAGAATCCCCCAGGAGAGGGCCGGCCCAGTGGCGCACTGGATAGTGCGCCGCTTGGGAAGCGCGGCGACGCTCCCGCCCGAGGGTTCGGATCCCGCATACAGACCGGTTCCCGCTCACCGGCTGAGCGAGGCGCGGGAGCAACACCGAGGACCGAAAGAATCCAAAAAAAAAAGATCAATGATACAAAAAGTTATTTTTTTGAGAAGACAAAAAAAAAAGACAAGCTACTGGCCACATTAACTAAAGAAAAAATAAAGAAGACAAAAATAACAAAAATCAGAAATGAAACAGGAGACATTATAATCAATACCACAAAATACAAAGAATCATTACAGACTATTATGAACAACTATATACCAACCAATTTGAAAATCTGGAGGAAATGGATAAATTTCTGGACTTATACAAACTACAAAGACTGAACCAAGAAGAAATAGAAAACAGACCAATAACAAGCAACAAGATTGAAGCAGTAATCAGCAGTCTCCCAACAAAGAAAAGCCCAGGGAGCCAGCCCATGGCTCACTTGGGAGAATGTGGTCCTGATAGCACCAACGCCATGGGTTCAGATCTCTATATAGGGATGGCCCGTTAGCTCGCTTCAGAGAGCATGGTGCTGGCAACACCAAGTCAAGGGTTGGGATCCCCTTACCAGTCGTCTTTTAAAAAAAAGAAAGAAAAGAAAAAGAGGGCCAGGTGGAGAGCCCCCATAGAGGCCAGCCTTTGCAGGGGGGTAATTCACATTTACTGAGGTACCCAAGTCAGATCCACTCCATCCTTTATCTTATTTTTGTTTTCCAAACAAAACTACCAGGTGGGGATGAAAGCAAGGCTACAGGAGGGGAAGTGACTAACCCAGGATCCTGCAAGGAATTGTCACTGGAACTTCACCAGCACCCAGGCTGTCTGACACAGGAACACACACCAGAGAGGGCCTGGATGCTATAGAAACTCCTGATGGGGAGCAGGGTCTTTTCAGGGAAGAGTACTTCAATATGGCTACTCTGGGGAGCAGTTTAGGAGCTTCTGCTAAAAATTAAAAACAGCATGTGACCCCAGCGATGCCACTAGAGAATCACTCACTCCCAGGCACGTGGAGGCCCATCCCTGCTGGGCAGCGTGTGACCTGAAAAGTGGCAAGCGACCAAATGTGGATGGGGGTGGGGATAATAAAACAAGCTGTGGCGTGTCTATCCTCTGCAATACCGTATAGCAGATAAAGAATTGGGCACAGCATGGCCTAATGTCGAAAGTTCTCCAAGATGTGTTATTGTTCAGTGAAATAAAGCCAAGCAATGCATATAGCATGATACCTTTAAATAAACCACAAACGGGCCGGCCCGGTGGCGCACTGCTACAGTGCGCCACTTGGGAGCGTGGTGGCTCTCCCGCCGAGGGTTTGGATCCCACATACAGACCGGTTCCCGCTCACTGGCTGAGCGAGGTGCGGGCGCGACACCGAGGGTTGTGATCCCGTTGCCGGTCCCGGTCCGGTACGGGCGCGACACTGAGGGTTGCGATCCGTTGCCAGACACGAAGAAAAAAGAAAAAAAAAAAAAAAAAAGGAAAAAAAAAAAAAACCACAAACATACAGGCACTTACAACTGGACAGAAAGGACAAAGAATGTTCTAGAAGAATACATGCCAAACTGACAGACAGAGAGGGGACCAGGATTTGGGACAGTGGTCAAAGGAGACTTTTACCATAGTTTTAATTTTTTTTTAAGGATGCAATTTTAAATAATTATAATAATATAAAGAACCCCCCAAGGACCTTTCTTTGTCACTGCTGGGCCACCATCCCTTGGTAGAACCCAATCCTTCTTTTGAGGGCTTGAGTCCGTGACCCCCCTCTCGGGGGGCCCATTTTGGTTGGCTGACTGTGCCCCTCTGCCATAATCCCCTCTTGAACCCCTCCCCAGCACATTCCCCAAGGCAGCCCTGCGTTGAAGGAGAACTGGTTCCCTCCCCACAGTTCCTGTGCTCCCAGAATCCCTCGACTCCCTGGTCCCTCACCATCCCAGCCCTGCCAGGCCCCATCTGTGGGGAGAGGGACCCAGGCCCAGGGCCACCTCCTCCAGACCTGGTGCAGGGGCAAGGGGCCCCAGTTGGTCAACCCATGGCTGTGTTTCACAGCCAGTGCTGTGAGCCCTAAGCTGACTCCTGGGTAGTTGGGAGAGGTGACAGAGCTGCTGCCCCTCACCCCACCAGGCAGGAAGCCAGGAGGGGATTTGGCCCTGTCCACCCAGTGCACAGCATGAAGGAAGGGAGAGAACAAACATTTATTAGTTAACAGCTTGGCATCCTCCCAACACCCCATTTTACAGAGGACACAAACCCATAGAGCAAAGGTGACTTCCTCAAGGACACCCAGGGGACCCAAGCTCATGTGGCTCCAAGCCCCTGAGAGACAATCTTGCTTCCTGTCTCTTGTCTCCTCCTCCAACATTCTTGGGGATAGGGAAAGGATGGTGTGAGATGGGCACAGGACACACAGTGACCTCCCTGGGTTCTGGGCTAGGGTGCGGGCAGGGTGGGAGCAAGCAGCTCTGATGGTGGCTGCTCACCTGGAGTCCCCGCTGGAAGGGCTGACACAGCAGTGGGTCGCCGCGCCCTGGGTCAGTCACCCCACCCCCAAGGATGAGCACAAGGTGCACCCCGCAGGGGGTCTGGTCTGGTGGTCAGATGACTCTGGCTCCTGAGGGTGTGTAGGAGCTGGAATTCAGCTTCCACAGGGAATCAAAGACCCTGATAGGGAGGAACACACATGGTTGGATTCATTGAATCAGGTGCAGCCCAGGCTGGCCACAGAACTATGAGCTGCACAACTCCAAGGGGCACCATTCACATCCTTGATGGTCCTGGTAGGACCCAGGAAGAGCTGGGAACACAAATGTGTATATGTGGCCTGTGAAAACTGCAGGGTCCAGGCAATGTGTGCTCTGTGACCATCTGAGCACCTGTCTGCAGAGAATGGGCTTGGGGGTAGATCAGAGACAGAAAGCAAAGGCAGAACCACCACAGAACCAGCATCTCACCTCCAGGCCAGCCGAGGGCACTGGCTACCAGGCTGAAGCCTGACAGGTTAGCTAAGGGGGGTGGGTGGGAGCAACACCCCCTGGCCATGAGGCAGGAGGCCAGCATGTTCTTATTCCACTGCCGAGGGGCTGAAGGAACTTGGAGCCCAGACCAAAACTCAGAGCCTGGAGCCCAGCACCCAGAACCTGGAGCCAAGAACCTAAAGTCCAGAACCTGGGGTCTGGAATCTGGAATTGGAGACTGGAACCCAGAACCTGCAGCCCAGCACCCAGAGCTCGGACCAGAGAATTTAAAATACATGCCCAGCACTCCCTGCAGGAGGCAGAACTAAAACCTACAGCCCAGGACGTGAGATCTGAAGCCAGACCTCAGAGCTTCGGGTCTGGAACTACACACCAGAGGCTGGCACTGCCATCTGTAGCATGGTATTCACAGTCTCACTCTCAGGCCTGGTCCCTGAGGCCAGCATGGAGGGCACAGGGCTGCAGCCACATGAGAAAAGGAGCTGCAGGGAAAGAGGTGATTTCTGAGAAAAGCCCGAAGCAGCCTCAGCTCTTTTGGCCACAGACTTTGTCCTTGTCAGTAAATGAGTGACCAGTGCGTGGGCCATTGGGATTAATAATTACACAAGGCACTTATCCCCAAACAGGGACATGACATCCTCAGAGTTGCCTGGGCCCACAGGATCTATTTTAGCATTGGGCTCCCCATCTGGAAAATGGGACTTGGATGAGAAAATGTCTCAGAGTTCTGCCTGCCCCAATCTGGGGTTGGGCAGCTCAGACTGGAGTCTAGGCTCTCCAAGAGAGGACAAAGTCAAGAGGGCCAGGATAGGGTTTGCTCTGTTTTCTGGAGGGAGGTGGAAGGTTCCCCTACTACATCGGCCAGCTCAGTGGTGGGAATTCCTGCCTTGACTGCAGGTGTGAAGGGGATGCATCCCTGGTGTGTGCATGCACACATGACTGTCCCTGTGCAATCGCACTGGGCTGAATGCTGGGACGAAATGTTCACTGCCACATTCCCAGCATACAGCACCGTGCTGACTCATGGTGGGGCTTGTGCGTTAATAACACACATGTGAGAAGAGGCAGGAGTTCTCAAACCATGCTGATGGAAATCCTGTCTGGGATGACGCTGGTCATTAGCCAGTCCTCCCTGGCCTGAAAATCCAGTTCATGGACAGAATGGTCTTGAATATTGGTTTTTCTTCTCTTGGTTGTCCTCAGACTTTAGGTCTTGAAGAAAACTCACATGCAGCAAACTGTATTTAGGAGCAAATGGATCTTCACCAAGAATTGCAGAAACAGCTGGTTGTGCCAACTTGCACAGCTTGCTCAGCTCCTGGACGCACACACTGGTACTTGGGATCATTCTCTCCCTCCGTTCAGCAGTCACGCTGCCCATGGGGAGATCATTTTTGCTGGTGTGACGAAATTCAATATGTCAGCCTGTCCCATTCACGTCAGGCAGGCTGTCTCCACTGTATCGCCTCCTGCTCCTTCCCAGCCCGTGGCAAGCCGACTCCTCCCCAGAATAGCTCCCCCAGCTCACTGATGGCCCCTGGGTGCTAAATCCACTCTGTTCTCAGATTACTTGACATCTCAGCAGCATTTCACACAGCGGACCAGGGTGTCTCTGAAAACGTGGTCAACCCTGGCTCCAGGGCATCTGCTTTTCTGCTCTTCCTCCTGATCCCTGGCTGCTCCTCTCGGTCTCTTTGGCTGGCCCCTCTTCCTCTGCCCTCCCTTCAATGTGGGTGCTCCTCTGGGTTCAGCCCTGGGCCTCTTCTCTCCTCAATGTACATACCCTCCCAGGGGTACAACTTTCCAGGCATGGCCTGAGGCCAGCAAGGTGGGCAAGGAGCCAAGTCACACTGGTCCTTCCAGGCTATGACAGCATGCCGGTCTTTATGTTAAGAAGGTAGCAGGGCAGGTTTTAAAAGGGAGAGGGGGTGACGTGATTAGCTTTGCATTTTGAAAGGACCGCTGGCTGTTCTTTTGGAGCATGGATGGTGGCAGCAATAGCAGAAGCAGGCAGAGCATTTTGGCAGGCAGGGGAGATGACAGTGGCCCAGTCCAGGGAGGTGGCCGTGGAAATGTCAGGCAGGGAAAGGATCAGGGAGCTCCTGGAGAAGTAAAATTGGGAGAGCTGGGGAATGGGTTGGGGATGAGGAGGTGGAGGAGAAGGAAGCGTCAAGGATCCCTGCTCAGTGTCTGGCTGGGATCAATGGGTGGTGTGTTGCTCATCAAAATCAGGAACATGGCGGGGGCCCAGGTTTGGGGTGAGGAGCACGTGGTGTGCTGCAGGCCGGCAGAACCAACTGCTCCTGCCAGAGCCCCCTCAGACACAACCTGTGCAGACATATCTTCCCTCCAAAATGGCTCCTCCTCCTGGATGCCTTTTCCCAATGAGAGACACCCCCAACCAGCCAGGCTCTGGGCCCAGAGATGGCCTGAGAGAGACCAGGGCCAGAGCCCAGGTGCACAGATGGGGCAGGAGTCACCATCCAGGGAGACACACAGACTCTGTTACTGACTGGGGAGGAGGCAGGCAGTGAGCAGGGAGGGGCAGAAATGAGCAGAGGGGCTGAGATGGGACAGTTTGGAGCTGGAATGAAGCTACCTTTCTGCTGCTCTCAGGAGTCCCGAAAGCAGCTCTGGCCAGCTCCAAAGTTTCCTTGCTTTCACTAGGGCTATGGCAGCCCCACCCTCACCCCCAAATATATTTGAAAGTGGTGGGTGCATAAGTCCACAGCATTTTGGAATTATATCTCTTACGATGAATTTGATCAATTACTAACTGCCTCCCGCCTTAAATCCGAGCTCCATAATAGCAGGGAAGGTAGACTTCAAAAATGTCAAAAATCATAACCTTAAAAAGGAGAAGCACCCCACGTTCATCAGGAGAACCTTGGATATAGCTGCTCCTGCCCAGCCTCTGACTCAAGCAGGGCAGGGGAGAGGGAAGGGTCATGCAGGCTGGGGTCCCAGGGCCCACTGTGGGGTGGGGGTTAGGGTACTGGTGGGTGTGTGGGGTTCTCAGACCCAGACAGCCTCTGAGCCCATGCCCGATGTGACTTCAACAGGGCCTCTGAGCCCAAGGACAGAGAGATTCTGACATAAGAACTCAGTGACACCCCGCCCACCTGTGCAGGAACCCAGACCTTACCCAAATCACTCCCTCCAGGTTGAAGAGGTTCTAGGACACCTAAGGCTCACCAAGTAAATTAGGGTTCATGACAGAATGTTATGAGACCACTAA